ACATCTATATGTAAAAAGATATATTGGGACCCAAAAGCTTATTTTTTCAAAACCACTGCTAATTTTCTATAATGGATTACCTACGTAAAGCAATTCACTCTGAATGTGAGAGTTATCCTGTGTTAGTAGCTTTAAGCTCAAAGTTTAAGCATTGGTAACTATTCCTATTTTTCAAACTTTGCACGCACTACGGCTTTCAGTGATGAAGTAAAGCAGGTGATAAAATTGAATAGCGTGAACTATTTGCCGTAGATGGATTTGTACATTGATGTGTTGTACATTAAATTGTGTAAAAAGTAAAGTCCTAAATATGCTAAAAAACAGTTTTTAGGCGCAGATGCTTGCGGGTCTTCTATCATTTTGCTATGTTGATCTGACAAAAACCCTAATGTAGTTCGCAATTTCGAACTGACAAAAAATACATTGCTATAAAAAATAACGTGTAACCAGATGCTGACTACTCTACAATTTTTTCGAATCAACATAAATATGTTGCCATGTTTTCGAGAAATACACTCACTTGCAAACCAATGTGGTTTTACGGGAGACTCAATTGAACCTCTCGTTTATGATGTTCTCCAGCTTAATGTGCTGCACACAGGCCGCCTCATGATTCAGTTGGCACGATATTTGAGATATCGCAGTATATTTTCATAAAGGAAACTACTCACAAGGTTGCTCAAAACTCTTCAAGTAAATCATAAGGTTGATGGAAACTCGGGAACTGCCCCTACCTGATGAGCCCCAAGAAGGGCAAAACCGGTCGTGGACTGTCGAAGAGTTTTCAGCAACCTTGTCAGTAGTTTCCTTTATGAAAATGCGTTGCCATTTCTAATTAATGCCGGTTGCCGTCTACAAGACCATGTATGAAATATGAAACGAAGAATGCTCCATTGCTAGAGTACAATATGCACAGTTCTTAAAGATTAGTCCTGCATGTTTTTTTCCTAATTCAAGCTCCTTAGGCAGATACCGTGAATCAGTCAAAATCTCAATAATTTTCAGTGCGCCGGCTAAGCTATTGTGCCATGTTTATTTGCGAAGCTGCCTTCTCTCTGGTTCAGTGGTATATTGTATTTCCTCCTATGGGTAACAAGTGATGCGTTGTTTTTACTCACGTTGTTTTGGCTGAGCTATGATAAAAAGCAAGGCTCACAGCCTACAAAGATGAGCCTAAGTGACTAGCGGCTAGGTTGTTCTCGAGACCCGCTTCAAATTCTCTGACGGCTGTTATTCAGGTAAACCGCTGAGGGCAGTAATTTTGGCTGTAACTTGCTTTTGAAAATACCTAATCGTGCTTTTTTGTGCTTTTCATGCTTAATTAAGGTTTAATTCATTATTGATAAGTTTTCTGGAAACTGTTAAACAACTCACGACCGGTTTTCCTCTTCTTGGGGCTCACCACCTAAGGACAGTCCCTGAGTTTCAGTCAACCTTATGTTCTACCCAAACCCAGATTGCACGAACGCAGCGAAACACACTCATTATGAGTATTGTATTTCGTCCACACATGTGTTTCGATGTATGAGTATCGCACCAGCTGAAACACGTGGTGGCACGTTAAGCTGCTTGAAACATGATAGGCGAGAGATTGAACTGGGTTTTAGGTGCCTCAGGTAAAATATTTTCAATTACTACAACATTTTAAACGAGAGACTTTTCTGCAGTAGGCATAAATGGTAAGAACCGGAGTACCGCACATGGTGACAATTGTTCCAGTGCCGTTTATTTGACCAGAACAACTGTAAAAGACTTCAATGTAGCGCCAACACACGTACACTATCGGTAGATACCGAGGACTATATGGAGCGTTTACACGAGATACTGATGGCTTAAAATTCTGTACTATAATATCCCTTTGACAATGAAAAATAATAATATGCTGTGGATAAAAAGGTGTAAGTATTCCTGACCGTTCATTCTGACATTTTTATGGTAAAACCTAAACCGTCAAAACCTAAACTAATTTGGTGACGCACACAGAAAGGCTATTTGGAGGGATGTATCCAGAACCATGCAGCCTCATTTAAAACCAATAGGTGCCTCTACTTTAAATGAATATTTAATGAATGCATATAGGTCCCCTATAACGTCCACGGCCGTTTTTTCAACGCTTTTCTTGGATGAACGCTCATCTTTGATAATGAAGCTTGTACTCATCGGGTACAAAGATTCTCATTATAAGGAAATCACGGTTAAAACATGACAAGTCCTTATTTTTTTATTTGGAGGAACGAATTGTTGGTTGGGACTACAGTACTCAAGAACGAATCAGGTGAATTTTTTTGAAGCAACAATAAACCCGGTGTTTTAAGTCAAAACTGCAAACACACATTTCTCAATCCCAGAGCCGAATCTGAAACCAAGTCATTTGAAGCAAGATGAAATGTAGGCATGTTATTCATACCCTTGCGTATGTACAGTTGTCCAATATACCTGATTTCAGCTGAAAATACAGTTACTTCCAACTGATCACCCATGGCGAAATTTTTTAAAATAGATTTGATACAAGCCAAGCTGCTCTCTACCCTTGTCAACCTCAGACTTGACGGTAATCCAGTATAGTCATAATGAGTCGCTTTATTATTTATTCTTTATGTGAGTAATAATCCCTAACTCAAAAACGGCATGCAGTAGCTCGCCTAATTTTCTTACTCAAGCGACCAAGTAGTTGAGTGTTTCAAGGTCAATAGTTCAGGATGGAACCATTTACTGTGAGTATGAAATGCTAATTTAGTAGTTCCCTAAACTTTTTTCAGAGTGCCAGCCTTGATTACAAGGCCAGAGTAATGTTTGACATTGCTGATCTTTACAGTTGATACACTTAAGGCAGTATGCCTGATTGGTGCAATCCCAACTTGAATTCGTTCTTCCTTCTGTGCCTGACGTTCCTCAATGGGTATAATCACAAAAACTTAGGGCTTCGCTCTTTTCGTGCCAGTTTGAAAAAAAACCTGTTTATTGCTAGTCGGTGTCTACGTATAAGAGTTGGAACACGTGAAGCCATATATCTCCGTTTGTATAAAGGGCTTTGCATTCCCGAGGACATTCCGGTGCTTAGCCTCAAAGCTTATTCTCGGTAGGTGCACAGCTCGCCGTACTCGGTGATCCTCCCGTAGGTGCTGTTTCAGTATTCTGAGAAGCACCTGGTTCTATTTATGAAAGGTTTGATTTAATATCCATAAAATCTTCAGACATTTGGTCTTTGCTAGTGCTGCGTGATCATTGTTTTCAGGTTGCACTTATATTTCGCAGTCGCGCTTGGTTCTTAATGGTGAAATAGGCTGCAGAATTAGGCTTCGCACGTTACTTCCTGTACCTAATATAGTTTTTAGTTAATTTTGGTTTCATGCGTGGTTGAATAAGCCCAAAGACTTTTCTTGTCCTACAGAATTTGCAGTGGCCTAGTTGGGTGTCGGTATGTTGACTGACAGATTCGGCGCTGTTTTAGTTAGGACTGCTTTTCAAGCCATATTTTGAGGTCTGTCGAGTTGAAGTATAATGAATTTCATAGATGGAGATCACTGATAAAATAGGATTTAAAATGGTACCGTAATGCGGTCTAACGAGTTTTTCGTCGTGTTTGCTTGATTTATTTAACAGAAAATGTGGCTATTGGCTCGCGGATCTTTGAATTCGAGGATCAGAACACTAATTAAACTGTTGAGAACAAAAGAGTCCACAGTGAGAGTGGCCTTTGTGAATAAAGGTTATTGGGTGTTTAAGCCAGTTTTGTTGCATATATTCGAATTTGTTCAAACAGTGTGTCAGTACGTCTTAACCAAGCATCACGGACTTGGAAAGCATACTAAAAACTTTGTTCAATTTGGTCTGCTGCAATGTTCCTGATTGATGCTCTTTCAATTTTTTCGAGGAGCGGATATAAGGTTCGATGTTTTTGCGCTTCTAGATGCGTTGTAGGAATTAGTCGTGATTACCAAGTTGTTCTGGATGCTTATTTCTGTATTCATTATTTATTGAAGTTTGGAGGGTTTTGTGAACCACAGATTTGCGTAGGAGCAGCACGTGGATATTTTGCTTCTTGAATAAAAGCCGACTTGTTTTTGACCAAGTAGAGGTCTTCATGTTTTTTCCGGAATAGATAGCCATTTAGTGTTTGATGTTGTTGGCGATTGTTCTGCATAGAGAGCCGATGTTGGTGAGGAAGTCATTGATAAATAAGAGAAAGAGCAGAAGACCTGGTTCCTGGCCTTGGAACCAACCACACGGTTTGTCGGAGAGACGGTTGAGCAGGCGGTCAATCGCAGGCTTCATACGATTCGCCTTCGAACTGAATACAGCCAGGTCTTTTGCTCGGTACATCCAACATTTTCTTGTGATATGCTTACTTCGGTGGGCCTTTGGGTTTCGTTTTGTGTCTGTGTGCCGTTGCCGTTTTTGCATAAATCTCCGTAATATGCAAATGTAATTTCATTCTGTGGTGAAGGAGGGCCTCGCACAACTCCCCCTTAGTGCAAAATCCCGACAGAAGAAATCTTGACTAGGCTATGATATCGGACATTATACATGATACGGTTTAGTGGGTGATATGTCTAAAAGCTGACTCGCGAAAACAGAAGATTGGACCTTCACTATATCCTATTGGAATCTCACTACCACCACAAATCTTCGATCTTTCATACATGTGACCTATGAGGAGTTCATCAAGAGATGCGTAGGAGTTTACCAGAAAATGTAAACTTATATCCGTTTTTGTGCGCTGAAACAGTGTTTTCATGTATTTGTTTTAGCTATACTGCGAACTTGTCTAAGGTATGACGTATTTTATTGTTATATACGGCAACCTATACGGCTGTAAAGGACAAGATCACTTCTCGAACATTTTGTCATATTGTACTGCTTTGATCGGCTGGCCTATAGTTTTTAAAATAACTTCTATCTCGTGCACAACACTGTCGCGCTATTAACATATTAATAGGCTGCACCGGTGAGTCAAAATCGTAGAAACCTATGGCCTTGGTTGGATCCTGAAATCTTACCCTGGAATTTGCGCCCCTTCTGGCAAATTACAGAACTTTCTTCTTTGTTCTAAGCTTGGTCCACCACCGTACTCAATTGACGTCATTTCCGAGTACTTTTCGAAAGATATTCTTCTCCGTCGCTATATCATTTTTATATTATATTCTGTTTCAGCCACTTAAAGTAACATTTAGTTCAAATTTCACGGATGATTATCCGTGCATGGAAGGTCCCAGAAAATGAAAACGGATGATAAAACTATCTTCATATTCCTGTTCTTTGAGGATACGGCATAAAACAAAACTAATGGAGTTGTGTTCAGTAGATCTGTATCTGAGTAGGGGGCTGAAGACCAAAGGACCCCGATCTGGTATAATCGGTATTGGTTTGTTTTTTCATACATTTGCGAGGTTCGCGCACATCCTTGATGGTATCTACTTGGCTACTAAATATCCTCGCATAAATTGCAATAACTCAGTGACTTTCGCTCCCATATCTATGAGATCCCAATTACTTGATTACATACATCGACGCTGATCAACAGAACGCTTTGGTTCAGCGCCCACCAGACCGCATGCAGTAGCTGCCATCCCTAACGGGTCTGGAAGGGATTCCGCTGGTCAAGCAATAATTCGTGCTCCATCAGGTCATCCGGATCATTGTATGATGATTTTCTGAACTCTGCGTATGGGCCTGGAGTTCGGAACCCCAGCAGGCTGGTGCGTGGTGTTTTGTACCTTGTAGTGTCTGTAATCCGTTGTCAC